AGGGGAAGCTCATTGCCAAGATTTCTCTGAAGGGGTGTACGGTAGATGGTCGTCTAATCGAATTCTACCCGATCAGGTGGAGCGGCGCCCAGGCCGAAGCCCGGAAGCAGCAGCAAAATCCACATCGGTATTTGGCTGCTGAATAGGGCTTCGAACTTCTAAATATGATGGCCTACAGATTAAGGAGAGAGAGAGAGACAGAGAGAGAGAGAGAGAAAGAGAAAGAGAAGAGAGAGAGAGAGAGAGAGAGAGAGAGAGCGAGTGTTAGAGAGGGAGGGAGAGACACAGAGAGTTCAACGTCTTTAAAAGCCGAATCCCCCGGAAATACGTGCCAAAATGAAGTTGCCAGATCTCAGTTCATCTACCAGGCAAAGCACAGAGTCCACGAAGTGGATTTTTGGTCGAAAGAAAGTTGGGAAGGCCGTTACTTGGCATAGCCTTTTTCGCGCGCCGTTGGATGGCTGGAGGGGGGATAAAAGAGACGCATTACGCAACGAGCCCCCGCTTGGACAGTAATTGAGGGTGGAAAACGAGGATGAGAGAGAGAGCGAGAGAGAGCGAGAGACAGAAGGAGTGAGAGACCTGTCTCACAACAACCCGCCGGCCAACTAGCAGCTGTAAGTAAGGGAATTCACAACCCTGGGGGATCCGTTTTCTTTAAATGGATATTAAAGGGATTGGGAAGTGAATGAGCAGGCTTTGAAAGAGACCGGAAGGTTTAGTTAATACAGTTAAAGTATCGAAAAAGCAACATTACACAACTACGTCCGGAAAGATACTGTAACCAGGCAAAAAATAGAAAAAAGCTTCGGGGTTGAACGACAAAATGCGCCAAACTACGTTTTTTCACTTGTCATTCGTAAAACCCAGGGTTGTTCATTTTGGGTCCGGTCCGCGTCCGTCCGGCCCGGGACGCGGACCCGTCCCGTCCGCGCAATTTGCATAAAAAACTGCGGACGGGCTGGGACGGGTCCCGGACGGGCCGGACGGACGCAGTGCGGGCTGGGGCGTCCGCGCGTCCGCGATGCAAATGACCGGAAGCACATGCAAAATCATTGCAAGCAAATTAACATCTTAGCTCGATTGTTGCCATTTCTTGATTTACATAGGTGCTTTACTTGGGGAAGAACGCGAAAAACGGTCATTTCATCAATTATCATGCAAGTTTTGGCTACCTGCGCTTTGCATAGCGGGCTCGGCTACTTCCTGCGTCCGAGCCCGTCCGGCCCGTCCCGGACCCGTCCCAGCCCGTCCGCTCTATCGGAGAAAATTATTCGGACGCGGACGGGTCCGGGCCCGCGTCCGTCCGAGCCCGTCCGTGAACAACCCTGGTAAAACCGAAGCTAAATAGGGCATTGGTCAAGTTAAGCCCAAGCTAAACCCAAGCCAAGCTAAGCTGCACGAAAGCTAAGCCCGACATTAAAATATTAGGGCCAAGACGAGCTAATTTGGGCCTAGCCTTTGTCTGGGCTTAAGCCAGTTTGGTGGGCTTGGGCCAGTTCGGGCTTAAGCTCAAGGTCAAGCACCTTAAGCTCAGCTTAAAATCGCCAAGTCAAACTTAGGTTTTTGTACGTTAGTAGATCATTCGAGCATCGTCATAGTGCTCGATAGGTAAAAAGAAACTAAAACGCTATGTTACGCACCTAATTCCGCTGGGATACTGTAGTCAGTCAGTAAAATCCAGACTAGATTGGATCCGGGACGGGGTGGGTGTCAGTTGGTGTGTGACGGACGGGTTGAAGGAGTTGGCAGCCGATTCATTGAAAGTGAGAGAGAGTTAGGGAAAGAGATAGAGAAAGAGAGAGCGAGTGAGTGAGAGAGAGAGAGAAAGAGAGATTTGGATGGGAAGCCGTTTAGAGAATGCTACTCGATTCTGCGAAGATTGTTGACAGCTCCCCCTCTAGAGAACCCCCGGGGGGCGGGGGGTGGGGGTGTTCGGAGGAGTCTAATCGACTGGTATCCATGCCTGGAAGGGGGAGATGAGGGGAGATGAAATGACCACATCAGACAATGGCTCGCATAGCCACATTGCAACACATCGCAAAAGCCACCGGCACACACCGCCTGCCCTCCTCTACCAGTTCGCCCTCAAGGCGAGGAGCTATATCTCACAGCCACATCGCCCGGAGGAGCCGAGGCAGGAAGCTGTTGGAAGTGGGGAGACACCAAACCTGAGAACACCTGGTGCTACTAGAAGATGCAAAGGGGTGCAAAGAGGGAAATAAGGTAAAAAAATACAATAATATTTTTTTGACGATACTGGTTTTTCTCTCTCCTTTTCTATCGCTTCTCTCTCTCTCACTCGCTCTCCCTCTCTCTGGTCTCTCATATTCTCTCTATCTCTCTCTCTCATGCTCTCTCTCTCGCTCTCTCTCGCCCTCTCTCTGGGCTTCCCAACTTTGAACCAAAAACTATTTGAATACTTCTATTTGAGTACGGGCTACCATCCCGGTCCGAAAATTCGAAAAATGGATTATCCACCCAATTCACCCGGACCACCGGCCTGCTCCGTCAGGGATTATGGTAGCTTTTCAATTCAGTTCAAATTTTTCCGGCGAAACTTGAAAATCACGACCTTTCAGCCAAAACTGAGGCCAGAGCGCCGCGACGGTAGCGGGACGCTGAACAGCGAGAAGACGGATGATGAGTCGAGCAAGGTAGAAAGAAGCTGGCTTGGCCTTAGGATTAGGATTAAGCTTAGGCCCAATCTCAGTTACCTCTCCTTTAGCGTGCCTCCAAATCCGAGCACCGTGTCATCAACATCGACCCGTCCAGCCGGCGCTCCGACTCGGCGTCCTCGTCCTCGGAATCGGTAGTGGAATAATGGTAGATAGTACGTAACTTTACTCAAGATCCGCGAGCCGAAGACTGCCAAAAAGAGGGTCCGCCCGCCGCAGCAGCAAAACACCGGCCGCCGGAATGCGTGCTGCCTGATGGCTTGCGCCTTTCTCGTCATCCTAGCCATTGGTGCGGTTTTTGGGTCTTCTCTTTCGCTTTTGCTCACTCTCTCTCTCTCTCTCTCTCTCTCTCTCTCTATCTCGCTCTCTCTTTCTAGCTCTCTCTCCCTCTCTCTCTATCTCTCTCTCTCTTTCTCTCTGTCTCCATGCCTCTCGCTTCTTTGATTCTCTCGCTCTCTACTCTGTCTAATTCTCTCATCTCTTCAGTAGCCATCGCCATCGGCTTCTACTTGGCCTTCCAAACGGACGATATCATGAGACAGTAAGTTTTCCCAACCGGCCTATATTACAAGTCCGATATCCACCACTTCCAAGTCCCTTTAAAATCACGATATCTCTCGATTCAGACTTGACGAAGACACCAAAGCCCGTCAGCACCGTATCCACCGGGAATTCGGGCCCGTCCCCGCGCAGATCGGCGGAAATGACCCCGGATTCACCCAGCTACCGTAAGAACTCTACCGTAGGCTCATCCCCTCCCTCTTCAGGGCCCACACCTGGCAGATCCCCACCCTCGCCTATCGCCCCGAACATTACCACGTGGATTTACACGTAAGGATACGCATTGAAAGGGCGCTTAGGCATTATCGGGGGGAGGGGCGGAGCGGATTTTTTCTCTAACATTTAAAATCTTTTTCTTAGATTAGAAAAAGGTACTAAAGAAAAAGTTTGTTTTTGTGGTCAGCCACTACACTCCATTCCTCATTACAGGTCTACCTCCCCGGCTATGGCACCGAAATTCCCAAAGATCGTGAATTCACATTCATCGGCGTCGTCAAGATTACGGTAGTTCTGTCCTGGAGGGAATGACCTATGAGGGTACGGTATTTAGGTAAGCGTCAGCTCGGCACAGCGCAGCATCGAGATGCACAGCAAGGGGCTCGATCTGATTGCGGCTACGATATTTGAGGGAGGGGATGAGAAGAAGGTAGGGATCGCGCTATCTCTCTCTCTCTCTCTCTCTCTTTCTCTCTCTCTCTCTCGCTCTCTCTCTCAATCCCTCTATCCCCCTTTCAGCGTCGTCGCCTGAGCATCGGTGCCAACGAAACCCTGGAGCGAATCTCCCTCTCCGATGGAAAACCCGACATCAAGCCCGGAAAACACATCATCCAGGTGGCCTACGAGACACTCCACTTTACACCGTCGTCCGCACTTTAGATCGTCTACAGCGGGACGTTGAGTCGCTCGATGCATGGCCTGTATCGGTCGGTGTATTATGATGAAGACGGAAACAAGAAATGGATTGCCACGACGCAATTCGAGTCGACGAACGCCCGCGAGATGGTGCCATGCTTTGATGAGCCCCGCTTTAAGGTATCCATTCCTCTCTTTCTCTCTCACCCTCTCTCTCTCTTTCTCACACTCTCTACCTCCCATTCTATCGTTCTCTCTAGGCTACGTGGACATTCTCGATCCGTCACCCTGTCGGCACCACAGCCACTTCGAATGCAGCCATCGTTGGGCAACCCACTAGGTGTGTTTTTTAACCCGTGCCCCGTCTACCGTACCCTCTCTCCCTCTCAACCGTCATTTGTTGCAGTGAGGAACACGATGGGCTGAAGTGGCAGCGAACCAATTTCGAACCGACCCCGCCACTCTCCACCTACATCATCGCCCTCATCGTTCACGACTTCGGATATGATAGTGCGACAGTCACGGACCGAAATATCAAGGTATCAGCATTAAGGTGCTTTTTAGGTATCTAGGTTAACTAGGCTATCTTAAGGAGATTACATTTTTAATCTCTCCCCCTTCCAGATCGGTGTCTATGCACGCAAAGAGATGATGAACCAGACGAAGACGGCCCTCAACGCCGCTCTAATAGCGGTGCCCGAGCTGGAGCGCGTCACCGGGGTTCCGTACCCTCTGAAGAAGCTAGGTATCGATCGATATATTGCGACTATATAGCTCTCCTCTCTACTGCACGCCTTGAACTCCTCGTTCAGACATTTTTGCCATCCCCGACTTTGCCGCCGGCGCCATGGAGAATTGGGGCATCATGACGTTCCGAGAGTCGGTAAGCAGCGGCTAGTCGCCAGCAGAATGTGCCGTACCCTACTCCAGATGGTGCTCGATGACCCGGTCCAACATGGGTCCAGCAGAAGGATAGAGGTCGAGGATACGGTGGCGCATGAGATTGGTCATCAGGTAAGGGCGAGAGACAGCGAAAGAGAGAGAACGAGAGAGAGAGAGAGAAAGAGACAGAGAGAGAGAATCCACCAATTCCATGCCTTCTCCTTTTTCCAGTGGTTCGGCGACCTGGTGACCCCGGAATGGTGGGGCGATCTGTGGCTGAATGAGGGTTTCGCCAAATTCTCCGAACTCGTCGTCGGGCGCAAGTTTGGAAGGCCAACTGACGGCTGGGGCCATCAAGTACGGTATCAAGAAGGGCCAGAGTATTGTTGCGGAAATCACGATAGCGTCCCTCACCAAACACGTTCAGGACGCCGTATTCCTGTCGCATTACCGCAAGGCGATGGACGAGGACGACATCATGCCGCTGAAGCCGATCGTTGTCGGGAAGGCCCGACGCGGCGATGCCGATTACAATGTGAGGTTCTTTCGCGTTATTGGGGGGGGGGTCAACGAACCGGCACCGCCACATGTTGCAAGCGTGCACTTTTTCAGCGCGAGCCCCACTCCTACTACGCCATCCGCGACATGTTCGGCAAGTTGACGTACGAAAAGGCGGCCTACGGCATCTACACGTTGTTCACCACTCTCGGCGAGGAGCGCTTCACCAAGATGATCAAGGTGAATTCGCCAGCGTGCTAGAGGGAAGGTGGTTTTAGGCGTACTTGCTGAAACATACTCACTCGAATACGGCTTGGCCGGACATTTGGGATGAAGATGACCAAAAGGACGAGCTGTGGAAGCTGGCCGTGCAAGCGAACAAGGATCATCTACTGAATGTGAGACGGTCTCTCTCTCTCGCGCGCGCGCTGTCTCTCCTTCCCTATCGTTCTCTCTCTCTCTCTCTCTCTCTCTCCCTCTCTCTCTCTCTCTCTCTCGCCTTCTACCCAATCATTTTTCAGCCCGGGTACCCGCGCATCAACGTGGAGCGCCTGGAAGGGAAACGCTACGCCATCACCACAGAACGCCACTGCCTTTCCGGCGACTTGAAGCTGGGCGACCGCGTCAACGAGTAGGATGCACTCCTACTTTTTGCAAATCGCGGCCTTGTCGTTTAGCACTTGGAGCATCCCGATCCAGTATCCCGGACAGAAGAGGCTTCAATTCATGCCGGCGGACGGAAGTGGGTCTCTCTCTCGCTCTCTCTCTCTCTCTCCCTCTCTCTCTCTCTCTCTCTCTCTCTCTCTCTTTCCCCCAGTCTCTCTTATCTGCTTCAGGCCCTCTCATCATCGAGTCCAACGAGTTCCCTTTCATCAACCACGAACAGCTCGTCTTCGCCAGGGTCAACTACGGGGAGCTGTGGCCCGAAGTTCGGAAGAAGTTGCACAAATCGGTTTGTTACTCTGGATATCCTATTTGACATGGCATTCCCAGGGTCTGAGCGGTCTCACACGCACGTTCATCTACCAGGACGCGTTCGCGTTGGCGCGCGACGGCGTCATCCCATACACAGTACCGCTCGATTTCCTGAATGATATTCATAAGGTGTCACTTATTGTATCTCTCTCTCTCTCTCTCTCTCTCTCTCTCTCTCTCTCCCTCTAACCTCCGCCTTTCCAGGAGCCCTTCAGTGAGGCCCAGCAGGCGTTGCTGTTCGAGTTTAGTCAAGTGCGCCTACAGATCACCGCCCATATCCCAACCCGAACCACGATGGACACCCTTGGCATGATCACCACCATCTACACCCCATCGGAGAGGCGGTACGCTTCCGGCATTTCCTGCTCTTTTTAACCGACCCTTCAGCCTGAAAATTGCCGACGACGTCGCCAAGGTCAGCAGCAAGAGCCGGGCTGCTGAAATGGGTGCCCTGTAAGTAGTTCATCTTTATGCTCCAACCCCCTCGCGGTGCTTTAACATTATCGGGGGGGGGTCGCCGCTATAATGCTAACGCTCTTCCCTTGCAGGCTCGAAACCGTGAAATGGGAGCAGAACAGTGGGGCGGTGCCCCCGGAAGCGACCGCCTACATGGAGCAGACGATGAACGTTTGTGCGGCCGGAGAGCGCACCAGCAAGTGCAGCAAGTACGTTCCCGGGTTTTTTTCCGGGGGGGAATGCAAATGCTTTCAGGCAGTCGCCGGTGCTGCGTTGGTTGAAGTATGTCTGGGCCGTGAGCAAGTCGGAAGATCCGGAGCAGACCGTGATTTGTGCCCATATGTGGGAGAAGCTGCAGATTGAGAGTGAGTGTTGAGGAGGGAGAGGGAAGGGGAGAGGGAGAGAGGGAGAGAGATAGCGAGAGAGAGAGAGAGAAGGAGAGAGCGAATGCGAAAGCGAGACAAAGAGAGAGAGAGAGAGAGAGAGCTAGAGATAGGCAGAGAGATTCCTTCCGCGTTATTCCTTGCTATATTTCAGCCGAACCCGCTGAGCAAGAGGCCCTCGCAGCTGGTGTTGCGGCCTGCGACAACGAGACGCTCGTCGAAGAGTGTGTTTTCAGACGTATTTTTACAAAAAATATGCGGGAATCTACACGTGAACCAGACTTCTTTGCCCCTTTAAACCTCCACCCAATCTAGGCTCTTCTCCCGCCACATTGCCAATGACGGCCTCACCCGCCTTCAATCAACTACGATGTTCGCGTTTGTGCGGGCCATCTTGGAGCCTAACCACGCCATCCAGTATCTCATCGAAAATGTCAACAGCTTTTGGGAGACGTTAGTTTTTCGGGCGACAATTTGACCCCGACTGCGGTGCCATTTGCACACCTTTATCACCCCATCTACAGGCTGTCCTACGCACCCGACGAGCGAAAAGAACTGTTTGAGAACCTCCTCGGGGCCGTCAACGACGACGAGCGATTGGCCGAGGTGGGCGCTAGGTGGGCCCACTTACACCTCAATTTCAGGCCCGCCTGCTGCGCGCCCGGCCCGATCTGCCGGAGGATTTGCGCGAGTTGCCCTCCTGGGATACGGCCTTCGAGACGCATCGGCTGAATCGTCGGTGGCGCTTGCTGTATGCGGTGCGGTTTGGTTCTATCTATCGAGGTCTCTCTCTCTGTCTCTCTCTCTCTTCCGCTCGTTCTCTCTCTCGCTCACTCACACGATCCTTCACTTACTCTCTCCCTCCCCCCTCTCTCTCTCTCTCTCTCTCTCTCTCTCTCTCGTTCTCTCATCTTTCTTTTTTTTCAGCACGATCTGCTCAGCCACTTTGAGCGCATCGTCGCCAAGGTGCTGGGGTCGGACGACGACGATAAGGCGCTGAACAAGCCCGACACCGAGCCGCTGCTCCCAGTAGCAGCTGCTGATCAGGAGCCGTGGACCGCTGACGTTGACGTTGAACTTGACGAGAATGGCGCCGAGTGACAACCCCTGATCACCAACTGCATCTACAACTGGATACTCGAAACGATCTGCTCTCCCGTGTCCCATTGCCCCCACAATGAGTAGTTGCTGCTCCCCGCCCCACCCATTTTCTGTATGCCCCCCCCCGTGATATCGAGATGCCACCCAGAATTCCCCATCTCTGTGATGCCGATGTGCAATGCGAATAAATTTGGTGTGCAGCTGGGAGAGAGACGCAAAAACAAAACAGCGGAACTTCTTGAATACGTCGCCACAGAATTACAGATAGAGAAAGGGGTGACAAGAGAGAGAGCGAGAGCGAGTGAGAGAGAGCGAGAGAGAGAGAAAGAGAAGGATGGTACACATCGATATAGAGGTGTAAAGTACTAGAGAAACGCGGTAAACCTCGCCTGAACGCCTTGGTGACGTCGGGCGGAGTGTGAGATAGACAACGCCAGATGCTTCAGTGAGGCTTGAGAACAAGACATAGATAGATACCAATTTGCATCCGACTTCCACTTACCACATCTCAGCCTCGAAAAACCATTTCGGTTGACAGTTCCCCGCAAATCGGTTCAACCGCCGCCCCAGCTTCTGATGGTACCCCTTCGGCTATGCTAATTTTCTGATGCTAATTTTCAGCCGGCAAAGTGGCCCAAACTGAAGAAGCCGGCCGGCTTCTTCACCAGCAGCGACAAGACGACGACGACGACTACCGGGGATGACAGTCCGGTATGGGCAGGCGGGCAGCGACCATTTGGGGAGCTCCTGCGCAACTCCCCGTCGTTGAGCATTTTAGGGATGAAGTACCATAACTTACCGCCCATTTCCAGCCCGTCTCCAAATCGGCCCGCCGCGCCTCCCGCTCCTCTCGATCTTCCCGCGGGTCCCGCTCAAGCCGTTCGACGCGCCGCTCATCGTCTCGATCGACTTCGGTGTGTCGGGCGCTTCTTGAAGTTGATGATAATCCTATAGGCCCGTCGCTCGAGGTCTTCGAAGTCGCGTCGCTCGTCCAAGTCAAGGTCGCGGGCCCGTCGTCCGCACAAGATGCCCGTGGTGAAGCACGAGCGGACGCCCGTTTGCTCGATGGTCGTCTTCAGTGTGGCGTGCTGCATCCTTGCCTTGTGTAGGGGTTTTCGAGATTTCTAGCTGCGATCTGCTTCTCTCTCTCCCTCTCTCTCTCTCTCTCTCTCTGTCTCTCTCTTTCTCTCTCTTTTAAAATCCGGCATTCCAGTGCTGATCGCCACATTCTTCCTGCTGGCCGTGGAGCCGAATTTGTTCTACACAAAGTACAGGTTCGTCGGCGTACTGAGGGTACCGTACTCGCTCGGACTCTAGCGTACTTTACGGTACCGTACTCGATCATAACTTACCGTAGTCTTGTAGTGCATCACACGGTACCGTATTGCTACTTAGTACTCTACCGTACTGTCACATTCCGCGTGACACCTTTAGAATTTTCTTTTCCGTGGCGTCTCCTACTGTAGTGTACTGTGTACTGTACCGTCTCTAACAGTCTCTAACATGCCTATAGCGTACTACAATGTACAGGAGTTTTTTGTAGTGTAACATACTTGATTTCAGGTTGACATCGGATACGAAGGCGAGACAAGAGAAGGTGTGGAAGGAGTTTGGCGAGGGATCGATCCACATCGGCGGCAACGACCCCGACTCCTCCATTCTACCGTAACCACTTTCACGCCTACCGTAACCCGACCCACCGTTTAGAATCCATACCTGGCAGATTCCCACCGAAGACTACCGTCCCACGCACTATGATGTCAATTTGCACGTGGGTGACTTGAAAATTGGCTTCATTTCACTCCTCCATCCAGGTCTACCTCCCCACTCACGGCACCCCGATCCCCACGGGGCGCGAATTCAACTTCTTTGGCGTCGTCAAGATCAGGGTATCCTAATGTGATTGTGTCCGGCGTCATCAAGCCGTTTAGCTGGCCGTCGACGCACCGCAGAAACACATCGAGCTCCACAGCAAGGGACTCGACCTCATCGCCGCTACGCTGCTCAAGGAAAAATCGGACAACCAGGTAGATCTTAATTTTCTCTCTCGCTCTCTTGTTCTCTCTCTCTCTCTCTCTCTCTCTCTCTCTCTCTATCTCTCTCTCTCTCTCTCTACACCCAAATTTCAGCACCGTCGCCTCTCCATCCGAGCCAACAAAACACTGGACAGGGTCGCCCTCTCCGACGGATTCGACATCGAAGCAGGACGCCATGTGATACAGGTACGGCTTCAAATAGGAATACAAACTACAAGTCTCAGATCGTCTACAGCGGGATGTTGAGCAAGTCGATGCACGGCCTGTATCGATCGGTGTATTATGATGAAGCCGGAAACAAAAAATGGATTGCCACGACGCAATTCGAGTCGACGAACGCCCGCGAAATGGTGCCATGCTTTGATGAGCCACGATTCAAGGTATCCGTGTCTCTGTCGCTCTTTCTCTCTCTCGCTCTCTCTCTCTCTCTGTCTCTCTCTTTATCTCTTCCGCTCTTTCTAGGCTGTGTGGACCTTCTCGGTCCGTCACCCTGTCGGCACCACAGCCACTTCGAATGCAGCCATCGCTGGGCAACCCACTAGGTGTGTATTTTATATCACGTGCCTCGTCTACCGTACCCTCTCTTCCTCTCAACCGTCATTTGTTGCAGTGAGGAACATGATGGGCTGAAGTGGCAGCGGACAAACTTCGAACCAACCCCGCCACTCTCCACCTACATCATCGCCCTCATCGTCCACGACTTCGGATCCCGCTTCGAGCTCACCAAGCGGGGCGTCAAGGTACGCGACGTGGCCGTGACGCACTGCACAATTTCTTTTCAGATTGGCGTCTACGCGCGCAAGGAGTTGATGCCGTACACAGAGACGGCCCTCGAAGCCGGGCTGATGACCGTCCCGGCGCTGGAGAAGCTCACCGGCGTCAACTACCCGCTGAGCAAGCTGGGTATGGGGCCGCCGTACGCCTTGAACTCCTCGTTTAGACATCTTTGCCATCCCCGACTTTGCCGCCGGTGCCATGGAAAACTGGGGCATCATGACGTTCAGGGAGTCGGTGGGTATATGTAGTCCAGTGCTCCTTCATGCTCTATATTTCTATTTCTCTCTCTCTCTCTCACTCTCTCTCTCTCTGTCACCTCAAATAACGAACCTTTTCCAGGCATCAATCTTCGACCCATCGAAACATGGCAAAGGGCGTCGTGAGGGCGTTCAAGATACGGTGGCCCACGAGATTGGACACCAGGTAAAGGAGCGAGAGAGAGAGAGAGAGAGAGAGAGTTAGGGAGAAAGACCGAGCTATTCGTCTTTTGCCGTCACCATCCCAAACCCGATTTTCAGTGGTTCGGCGACTTGGTGACCCCCGAGTGGTGGGGTGATCTGTGGCTGAACGAGGGTTTCGCCACGTTCACCGAGCTCTACATGGGGCGCAGGTTTGGAAGAGACGACAACGGCTGGGGACATCCGGTGGGCTAATGCCCGTTGATTGCATTTTGTACCCATTCACCCTGCAGGACCAATCATACATCCAAGATTTCCACTATGTATGGGGCCGCGGCGACAACACTGCACCGTTGAAGCCGATCGTCGTCGGCAAGGCGGCGCCCGGGGATAGGGACTACAACGTGAGGGTTTTGTTGCTCTCTATCGCTGTCGCTCTCTCCCTCGCTCTCTCTCGCTCTCTCTCATTCCCACAACCATTCCAATTTTTCAGAAAGTCCCATACTCCTACTACGACATCCTCGACATGTTCAGTGAACAGGTATACCCGAAGGCGGCCTACGGCATCTACACGATGTTCACCACCCTCGGCGAGGAACGTTTCGGCAAGATGATCAAGGTCTGCACCGTATCTCAGTGCATTAATGGAAGCCGAATCTAGGGATACCTCGAGAAGCACCGAATGGGCTCTAGCGTCACGGCCGACATCTGGGAGGAAGACCCGATCAAGGACGACCGGTGGCAGCTGGCAAGGGACGCGAACGAGGACCACAACCGCAAGGTATCCCGCACCGTCTCTCTCCTCTCTCTCTCTCTCTCTCTCTCTCTCTCTCTCTCTCTCTGTCTCTTCATCCATGCGCTGCCTCCCCCAGGCTGGTCACCCCCGCATCAACGTCGCCCGCTTGCCCGGCGAACCCAACAAGTACGCCATCACCACCCAACGCCACTACCTCTCCGACGACTCCAAGCTGGGCAAAGCCGAGAATGAGTAGATTCCGTATCATTGATAATCTACTGTCGATACTACAGCATCTGGCGCATTCCGATCGAGTACCCCGAACAGCCGGAGGGTGCCTTACAATACATTCCTGGGGATGGAAGTGGGTGATTTCAGCGAATTTCGATTACTCAGGTTCTAGGGTCCTCCACCCTCTGGCTCATCTCTTTTTAGGCCCTCTCATCATCGAGTCGAACGAGTTGCCGTTCATCAACCACAAGCAACTCGTCTTCGCCAGGGTCAACTATGGAGAGCTGTGGCCAGAAGTCCGCGAAAAGATTCATACGGCGGTATGTTGTTATCTCTCGTGTTTCCGGGGTACCTCTCGCTCTATCGTTCGCTCTCTCTCGCTCTCTGTCTGCCTGTTTGTCTCTCTCATTCATCGCTCCCTTCCAGAATCTCTCCGGCCTCGCTCGCCACTACATCTATGAAGATCTGTTCTCCATGGCCCGTGACGGCGTCGTCCCGTACGAGATTGCCGTCAGCTTCCTCGACGACCTTGACAAGGAGCCATTTCCTGGCGCTCGCAGCGTTCTTGTCGGCGCTTACAACACGATCAAGGACCGGATTCTCGACTATTCGACAAGCCACCGTGCCCACGACATCATGGGGGTCAGTGTGCTTCAAAGGGGCTGGCAACTTATAATTTTTAATTCAAAACTTTAATCAGACTTCAGGCTTCCGGAATTTTTGGTGCTTTCAGAATGCCAGCGTCCACTACCAACGCCTGGTTAACAGAGCCGAGGCAAAGACGTCGAGCAACAACAACGGCCGCCAGCTCAGGCTCAAAGCTAAGGAGAAAGCGGAGTCGCGGTCCCGCTTCAACGAGCATGACGAGATCCAGGAGTTCAACGACAAGTGGGTGGCGCTCAGGCATTCACTGCTAAGCCTAAACCTCGTAGAAAAATTGTTTTGTTACATACTATTTCCCTGAACTCCTTCAACTCGTCGTTTAGGCTGTGGGAGCGCGATCGGCTGCGCAGCCTTGGACGCCAGCTCCGCGACGCCGAGGAGCCCAAGTGGCGCCGCTTTGAGCGCGAGGTGATGAGCGCGTGCCCGGGGGAGAAGCAGCAGACCAGCAAGTGCAGCAAGTACGGATGGGGAGACCGCTCGAATGGGTATTCGGAGGCGATCCAGAGCGCCCGCGGGCAAGAGGCCGAACGGATTGCCGCCTTCATGTGGAAGAAGCTGGAGATTGAGAGTGAGTTTTGGGGTGGCCTTTCGGTGTCGCGGGGGACGACTTGAAGGCGTTCAGGGTAAGGTTAATCTCTAGATCTCGTGATCATTTTCGCTGAGTTTCTTTAACGTTCGGCGTCCGCTCTCGTAGTAGTTCTCTCTCTCTCTCTCTCTCTCTCTCGCCTCTATTCTACCTTCAGCCGACCTCGACGAGCAGTTCTACCTAAACCGTGCCCTCCTCGTAGCCCCCAACTGGGAGTGGGCCGAGCGGTACGTTCAACAACCGATTTGCTCATTACCTGTCACTCTGCTTCAGCATGCTCGACCACTTGATCAACAACACGGGTCTGGCCCGACTGCAGAGTACCTCCCGGATGGCCCAGACGGTCGGGTGGCGCCCCGAGGCGTTCGAATGGCTCTACAACAACATTGGATCCATCCACGAGAGGTAGGAGAGAGAGAGCGAGAGCGAGAGAGAGCGAGCGAGCGACAGCTAGTGATGCTTCCTTTCCAGGCTCAGCTACGAACCCGACGAGCGCAAATCCTTGGTGGAGAACATGTTGGGCCAGCTTCGCGGCCGTGACGCTCTGACCAAGGTGGGCAGACTCTGCTGAACTGCTCCAAGTTGTTCTTCAGCTGATCATGATGCGCCAGCACCCCGACCTGCCCGAAGACCTGCGCCCGCTGCCTTTCTGGGAAGACCTCGCCGAGCGGCAGCGCCTCAAGATCGAGTGGTGTCAGAAATATGCGGTGAGGGGCTTAATTTAGGCTCACTCTCCCCCCTCTCTCTCTCTCTCTCTCTCTTTCCTTTTATCTCCCTCATTTTCAGTTCGACCTCCTCGAGCTGTTCGCCAAGCTGCCCCAGTCGAACCGGCAGTGATCACCACTAGCTCCACCACCTCATCGACATCACTAATCGACCCACACTGATCGACTGTCCTTTGTATGGCCATGTAGCCCTCCCCTCACCTCATCGTGCTGTCATTTGTATGGGTGTGTAGCCCTCGGCTTCTCCTTCTCCCCCCCTTCCTCTCTCGCGCAATCGTTCATTTCCGGATTCGCTCGCCCTCGCCCCTTCCCCGATCCCATCTATCTGTATTGGCAGTCGAATAAACATGTCAATGAGCCGGAAATTGTACAACAAAAAAATTTATAGCCAACTTACGGTGTTTTTGACCATTTGAATGGTATCTTGGCGCATTTGGACCCCGAAACTTTCGCCAGATGAAGAAGGCATCCTTTTTTGGGCGGTAATTGTTTGATTTACGGATCTATCGTTTAAACCGGGAGTTGGAATTTTTATCCTACAAAAAGCGTCGGAAAATCATCATTTTTCGCGCTCGCAATCCACACGCAAATTGCGAAAACATTGTCAAAGAGCGTACAGAAATGCTCAAGACTTCCAAAACAGATGTTTTAGCGATAAATTTTTTGTTTTACATTTTTTGTTAATTTTTTTACGTGAAAAATTCGGTTGCTTAAGCATAAGCCTAAGCATAAGCCTAAGCCAAGCCCAGCCTAAGCCTAAGCCAAAGCAAAGCCTAAACCTAAGCCCAGGCCAAAGCCTAACTAGGGAGGTATCTGAGCTCGGCATCGAAATTCGAGAAGTCAGATACACCATTCGACGCGCCTTGTCGAGGGGATTCCAAATATGTAATAAAATCAACCAGAGCCTATAACCGTAAAAAGTTATGAGCATTCGAAGTCGACAAAATGGTGAAAAACAGTATCTTTGAGACCCTGTATCATCCCGCGGAATGGAATTTAGCCTAAACTGATTAGTGCTCCTTATTCAACAAAGAAAGCTCTTTCAAATGAGCTATATTACATACGGCTGCCAAAAATTTCCGTAAAAAAATATTTTTGGAATGCGGTGTAAGGGTAGGGTATGGCCAGCTTGCCGAAGACGTTTCGAGAATTTCGCGTAAAGCTTATGTAAGATAGCCCATTCGAAAGAGAATTTTCTGCTGATCAAGATGTACTGTTCTGTTTTCGACAAATTACATTCTTCGAATTCGTACAAAGCCTTAAAAGGGCGGTTTTTGATGATTTTGCCAACTTTGATATAGAGAGCGTCCAATCCTGGTCTTGTTGCCCGAGGTTATTTCATCATCGCTGGTGCCTTTTAGGGTCACACAGTCAAGAAAAACTTATTCCCGAGTTTGGAAATGCAAAAAGTAGGAAATGGTCAAAAAGCAAAAAATAAAAATCATGAGTGGATCCGAACCCTGGTCGTACAGACCGGAGTCCCATGCGCACACCACTAGGCCACGGGGCCGATGAACAGGGTGCGCTGGGAGGGGCTCATATCGCCGCGGCGGTTTTCGCTGCAAAACTTAAAATGTTCATAACTTTTTATCCTTATAGGCTCTGGTTGATTTTATTACATATTTGGAATCCCCTCGACAAGGCGCGTCGAATGGTGTATCTGACTTTTCAAAGTTCGATGCCGAGTTCAGATACCTCCCTAGTTAGTCCAAACCTAAGCCTAAGTCTAAGCCTATATAGGCTAGCAGCGATGCTTCGGCCATGAGGCAGAACGGCTATTTTTTACTTTTGTGTCCAAAGAATCTCGAGTGTACATATTTATTCGAGCGCCACGCCAGGCGAAATACGACGGGGAATATGTGAATACAGAAATCTCGCGGGGGTGGTGAAGAAGGAGATGATCAGCGTCGGCGGGGAGTCAAGAAATTTGGGACACAAAAAATGCATCGGGGGGGGACGGGGCAGTCATTGGTTGTAGATCGGGTCAGTGGGGCGAGCGAGCGAGTCGATCAGCATCTGCGCGGACAGCGTCTCAGTTATCCTTGGGCTCGATTTGCGGCAGCTTGGCGAACTTGGCGAGGATGTCCAGCTAAGAAGATGAGGGTCGTTGGCAATATCGGGGCCTTAGAACCCACCGCATAGTTGTGGCGCCACTGCCGGTCCACCTTGTACGCCTCCATCGCCGAGTCCCACTTCGGCATGCGGCGGAGTTCTTCGGTGAGTTCGGGGGATTGGCGCAAGGCGGCCACCTGAAAATTGGGGTTTCGCTCTCTCTTTTCATCTCTCTCTCTCTCTCTCTCTCTCTCTCTCTCTCGATGCCCCACAACGACTCGAAGCCGTTCAGGCGAAGTGAATCTCTCTCTCTCCCTCTCTCTCTCTCTCTCTCTCTCTCTCTCTCACTCACGCTATCACATTCTCACTCTCTCTTTCTCGCTCTCTCTCGCTCTGTTTCTTTCTCTCTCTCTCCCACTCTCACTCTCACCTGTGCCAACTCCAGGTCGCTGGCGATTCCGCCGATGATCCCCTCGAACAGCTTGGACCGCTCGTCAGGGGCGTAGTCGAGGCTGAACATCATCAATCCAAACTCTCACCAACACCAACATTTGCCAAAACGTAGCCAGATTGTCGACGAGCCACGGGATGGCCTCGGCACGGTTCGCCAGGTGCGCTGCAAAGGTGCCGGTCGACTGCAAGCGGGTCAGCCCCGTGTTGTTGATGTGATGCCAAAGGAGTCTGGGATCACAGTGTAAGAGCGGATTTCCACGTACTTACCGCTCGACCCACTCCCATTTGCTTGCCTGGATGATGGCGACGGCCAGGTTTTGCTGTTCCTCGGGGTCGGCTGGAATGGGTAGATGAACATTGAACATTGAGGTGTGTGGATGGTAACGTACTCTCAATCTCGAGCTTCTGCCATAGGTTGTGTGCCAGGCGGTCGGTGTGTTTGGGGCCGGCGCTGACCATGGCCATCGGGTATTGACGTTGACGTTCGGACCATGGAATCCTGGAAAAGAGGAGGTTGGGGAAAGAGAGAGAGAGAGTGAAAGAGAGTGAGAGAGAGTTAGTGAGCGAGAGCTCCAGGTTGAACGACTAGACGAGGATCTTTTTCGGCTTAACTTTGAGCAAGAGACGAGGAGCAAAATAAGAGAAAATGGCTGCCACTTTGAGCAAGAGGTAAAAAGAGCAGGTCAAGAAAAAGGAGGATCAAGTCGAACAGCTTCAAGTTGTTTTCCTAACTCGGCGGCGGATCGAAATTAGAGGCGGCGAGAGGCTAGCGAAAAATGTGCAAGAACTAGCGCACGAGCAAGAGCTAGAGAATGAGCTTGAAACCGTACTTGCTGCACATGCTGGTCTGCATCCCAGCCGGGCAAGCCGCCAGCACCTCCTTCTCAAACACCCTCCACGCCGCGTCCTTGTCATCCGAGGTGCGACGCCCAACCGTCAGCTCCAGCTTCAGCTCGTCCACCCTAGAAGTTGTGGCTCAAAATCCTCTATGTGCGGGTGTACTCGTCGAGGACGTGTTGCAGCTCCTCCTCTTCCGAGGTGGCGAGCTCGATTTTGCGATCGTCATCGTCCTGGTCAGCGCCGGCCAGTTTCAGCGATCGTTCGGGCTTGGCGGCGAGGCTTTGGTAATAAGCGCCGGCATTCTGGAGCATTTTACACATCAAGAAACTGGAAATGTTCAGCTACATCCAGAATCTCCACGGAGCCAAGGTTGTATGAGTGGGCGAGCACTTGGTTGCGCACCCAATTGAAATCCTCAAGCAGGGATTTCCGGATGGCCGAGACGGGCTCCTGAATTTGAGCTTTAGAATGAGGGGGAGATCTTGAAAAACCTTGTTGATGTCGTCGAGGAAGGCGAGGGGGACGTCGTAAGGGATGACACCGTCACGGGCAAGGGCAAACGCGTCTTCGTAGATGAAGTAGCGGGCGAGGCCGTCGAGTTTCTGAAACGAGAGAATGAGCGAGAGAGAGAGAGAGAGAGAGAGAAACGATAGATACACAGAACATACCACCGTATGAATCTTTTCGCGAATTTCAGGCCACAACGCTCCATAGTTGACCCTGGCGAAGACGAGCTGCTTGTGGTTGATGAACGGCAACTCGTTCGACTCGATGATGAGAGGGCCTAAAAAGAAGCAAACCTGAGGATGGAGAAGGCAAAGAAACAGAGAAATCGTAATTCCTTAAAACCCTGACTTCCATCGCCCGGAATGTATTCGAAGGTTCTCTCCGGCTGTTCTGGATATTCGATCGGAATGCGCCAGATGCTGGAATGGAGCCTGTAGATGGCCACTGCCAGGAAGTCTACTCATTTTTCTCCTTGCCCAGCTTGGAGTCGTCGGAGAGGTAGTGGCGTTCGGTGGTGATGGCATACTTGTTGGGTTCTCCGGGGACACGAACGACGTTGATACGGGGGTAGCCACGCTATACGGGGGTGATAGACAGAGAGAGAGAGAGAGAGAGAGAGAGAGAGAGCGCGCGAGAAAGAGAGAGGGACCAAAATCACGTACATGATGAAGATGATCTTCGTTAGCTTCGACGGCGCGCTTCCAGAGGTCATCCTTCAGGTCGTCCATCTCCCAAATGTCCGTCCAGGAGGCGGTGGCGTGATTGTGTTTGGCCAGGTACTTCTGAATCCGGTTAATCCTCAAAGGATTCTGCTTATTTGCCATTTTTTGCCCGTTGTCAAAGGAACCGGAACTCCAAAGGCAAACCCCCAAGCCGTTAGGCAACAAGCCCAACGAGTACGACCAGTGCGACTAGGCGGAATCCTAGCCGAACTGCTCGAAAAAGCGGGCCGGACCTGCAGCATGTTGCGCATCCGCTCCTCGCCCATCGTGCGGTACATCGTGTAGATGCCGTAGGCCGCCTTCTCGTACGTCAGCATGCTGAACATGCCGCGGATGTCGTAGTAGCGGGCCGGCTCGCGCTGAAATTAGAATTTTTTGTTAAAAAATTTGAATTCTTTCTCTCTCTCTCTCTCTCTCGCTCTCTCTCGCACTCTCTCTCGCTCTTTGCCCACATTATAATCCCGATCACCGCGATGAGCATTCCCGACGACGACCGGCTTCAGCGGGTATTTCTGATCCGAGGCCATCGCGCTGCGGAACGTCTTGATGAAGTTGGTGTCCTGGACGGGGCTAGTTGTCGACCCAGATACCGTACCTCATGGCCCCAACCCGGGTATTTTCGGCCGTGCTTGCGGCCGACAAACATCGGATAGCAGCGGGCGAATCCCTCGTTCAGCCACAGATCACCCCACCATTCCGGGGTCACCAAGTCGCCGAACCACTGCAAAAAGGGTAAGGCTTGGCTTAGGCTTTAGGTAAGGTTAGGCTCAGGCTTAGCCTATGCTTCGGTTTAAGCTTAGGCTCCGGCTTAAACCTGGGAGCTTAGACTTGCTGAAGCTCCCCACCTGGTGCACGATCTCGTGGGCGACCACATTCTCAATGACGACCCGGCGGGAGGTCTTGTTGTGCTTCGGCTCGTCGTACAAGATCATCTAAACTTACAGTTCATTTAAGGCTTCACTAACTTAAAAAATCGTACTACTACACGCTACAAACTACGAACTACTGAATACTCTTGTCCATTACCCACCGTTTCCCTGAACGTCATCATGCCCCAATTCTCCATGGCGCCGGCGGCAAAGTCGGGAATGGCAAAGATATCTGAACACGTTCAAGGCGTGCAGTCAATCCATACCCAGCTTCTTCAAGCCGTACTTGGTGCCGTAGATGCGCTCGAGTTCGGGGAGGGCAATCATGGCCGTGTTCAGCGCCAACTCCGTATAGGGCATCATCTCCTTTCGGGCGTAGATGCCAACCTGAGTGGTGAGAGATAGGTGTGAGAGAGAGAGATTGAGAGAGAGCGAGAGAAACAGAAAGCCAGAGATAGAGAGAGAGACTGAGCGAGAGACGAAGCGAGATAGAGAGTTAGAGAGACAGACAGAGAGAAAGGGATAGAGAAAACTTGACGGAAAAAGGTACCTTCACATTCTTATACATCCTCGATTTGAACCCAAAGTCGTGAATGACGAGTGCGAGCAGGTAGGTGGACATTTTCGGCGTCACCCCGAACACCGTCTGCTGCCAGTTCAGGTTTCCGTGCGAGATGCTGAACAAGTTGAAGGGGTACTGTAGATTGAGCATCTAACAAAACCCACCTGGTCGGCTTCCCATCGATGGGGACATTCGAGGTGGCGACAGTGCCGAGAGGGTGCCGAGCCGAGATGCGCCAGGTCGCCTGAAAAATCGGAATTTTGGACGCTTCCGTAACCCCCTAAAAATCAGCTAAAACGTCCCCGCTAACAGTCAAGTACCGGCTAGCCTACGGTTTCTCAGCTCACCTTAAACCTCGGCTCGTCAAAGCAGGGGACCATCTTGCGCGCGTTCGTCGCCTCAAAGTGGGTGGCGGCGATGTAGCGCTTGTTGCCGTTCTTGTCAAAGTACATCGAGCGATAGAGGCCATGCATAGAACGACCCAGGATGGTACGGTAGGCAATCTAAAGGATGTGGGATGGGGTGGGATTTGAATGCCTGGAGTGTATGGGTGCCTGGCGGAATCTTGTTGCCGTCAGAGAAGGCCGCGCGTTCCAGGGTTTCGTCGAAGTCGACGTTGAGGCGACGACGCTGCAAGTTTGAGAGATAAAAAGAGAGAGAGAGAGAGAGAGAGAGAGCGAGAGAGAGCGGGTGAGAGAGCGGGAGAGAGAGCGGGAGAGGGTGCGTGAGAGGGAGAGAGAGCGAGAGAGAGCGCGAGAGAGTGTGAGGGAGAGCGGGTGAGGGAGAGCGGGAGAGACAGCGGGAGAGAGAGCGGGAGAGAGAGAGAGCGAGAGAGAGCTCACCTTCCCACTGCCCCCCTCGATCAGCGTGACCACCATCAGATCCATGGCCTTTGCGTGGAGCTCGATTTTCCGCTGCTCGACGTCGACGACCAACTGCGATCCATAATCCAACCTCATCTACTCTACTCCAGTCATACCGTAATCTTCACCACCCCATAGAAGTCGAACTCCTTCTCCTTGGGGATCGGCGTCCCATGGCCGGGCAGGTAGACCTAGCAGAGATCATTGAGGAAACGGAGAGAAGTCCCACATGCAAATCCAGCTCATAGTGCTCCGGGCGGTATTCGTCGGTGGGGATCTGCCAGGTGTCCGTGCTAAATCGTGACCGGATTACGGTAATCACCGGCCAGGGCTACGGTATCAATCTCGGCGCCGAGCTGCCCTTGCCGATGTCGTTGAGGGTGAGGCCGAACTCGTACTTCAGCAACTGCTCGTTGTCCTTGTTGCCCCAGGGACTGCAAAAAATTTTTGGGGGCCAACCAGTAGATGGCTTCCAAGCCTCTCGAAAGCGCCTACTTTCCAGCCCCCTCGACGGGGTTGAACCAAACGTAGAAGCCGAGGAGCAGCACCATCACTGAAACAGATAGGTAGCAGAGACTCATTGGGGAAAGCAGACGACGTCTTCAGGACGTTCAGCTAATAAATCCTAATTCTTAGAAGTCGGGGTTTTATCGATTAGGTAAAGGGCCGCTCCGGCGTCACCAAGACGTTAAAGGTATGCTAAAGTCTCGTTGGTTTGGTTACCGGCCGGTAACCGTCCGCGGAATAGCAAACAGGGTTACGGTAGACGCTCGCCGCGGAGCAAAACCGAACCCTGGCTGCCAGCCTGGGGCAGCGCCTTGGACCACTAGGTCATGGGAGAGACGGAAAGGCGGGATGGCCAGGGGCGATAAGAAGGGGGCTGGGTTGGCTGCGGCAGAGTGCCCAAATTTCCTACCACCACCACACTTTTTGAACGAGATTTTAGTGTACCTTTAAATCTCCAAAACCAGACCCCGGGCTTCTTGCTATGCCCTGCCTTTGGCGACGAACGTCGTCAAGAAGTTCAACTTCTCGTTTTCGCCTCGTCAAATTAACTCCTAAGCAACAACCGAAGTCAGCAAGAAGTTCAAAGTTTTATGGCCAGATTTTTCCGGCTTGTCAAGCGGAGTTTGCTCGAAAGCGAAGATCTGCAGAGCTCGACGCGTCCAAGGAGTTCGACCTGACACCCAAAATCGCCCGTAAAAACCTACGAAAGGCCATGCAACAAATGACGGCGAGGCCGCAGAAGACGATCATCTGGATGGGCGTGTTCCGCTCGTCGGAGAAGCCGGACGGGTCGTGGGCGCCGCGCTTCGAAGCCCTCGACGCGGAACGGGAAGGCCTTCGGGTCTTGGAGCGGCGTGTCTATAGTCCGGCAATGCAATCGAGCTACAAAAAATACCGACGACGACCTTGTGGAACGCTTCTGGCTCTCGACGTCATCACGCCTGGAGCGTGAGCGGGAGCGGGAGCGAGAACGAGAGCGAGAGCGGGAACGTGAGCGGGAGCGCTTGGAGGAAGGCTGGAAAAATTGGGACATTGGTTTCAAAAGAATCTCTGCTAGCCCGCCTAAAAATTTGCATAAAAATTACCATATTGAGCAAGATGGTTTGGGGCTACAAACCGGTTGACGGTTTGGCAGGTGAAACAAGAAGGTCTTATCTGGATTTTTCACGCCGGCATTAGTTAGTTAGTCATTAGTTTGTTTTTATGCAAATTTGTGGGTTATCGGGCAGGCTAGCAGCGATTATTGGGGAGTGGATCCAATTTTCTTTGCACCACGATCTCTTAGCGTCTCGTATCACATGGCGACACGCTGGAATAACATTTTGGCAGCCACCGTGGGGGCAGCGCTGCGGTTGTCGGTTCCAAGTTTTTTGTGGCAGTCGGAAGGGAGGAGGAGGAGGGAGATCAAGCTGTAGACAGCTTGATTCGGCTTTGGATGGTTAGTCAGTGGATGTATGTCTGTCTATCTGTCCGTCCGGTAGACCGTAAAATTTTCAAAATGCCACTTGCTACCTCTCGCTCTCACCCTCTCTCTCTCTCTCTCTCTCTCTCTCTCTCTCTCTCTCTCTCTCTCTCTTTCGATTTTCATATCTATCGCTCTGTGGCTCTTGCTCTGAATATCTCTCCCTCTTCCTCGTGATCTCTGGATATGTCTCTCTCTCTCTCTCTCTCTCTCTCTCTCTCTCACTTCCACCGCAATGGCTTGTCCCCCCATTCCCCCGTTGATCCGCTTGAATCTGGTTTCCCCGTTGGCACCCCCACCGTCCGCTCCGTTGTCACCAAAACGCCTGCGGGGCGGCGATTGGATTCCGCTGGTGGTGATCCATCTCTTCCTCTTCCTCCTCCTCCTCCTCCTCCCCTCCCTCTTCTGCCTGTTTACAGTTCTTCCTACCGACGCCCACGGAACTTTACACCCCGCTGGGTGTTTGCAGCTTTTTCTGGTGCGCTAAAGGTTTAGGAAGCGAGCGGGGAAGTATCGGGGGAACTCGTGGAACCTGATGGTCTCTTCCTGGGATTTCGGGGGTTTTCGAGGCGCGCTTTGGACTTTGGAGTCATTTTACTTCATCTTGTGTGCGGTGACTTTGATTAAAAGGCTAGGGAATTTTTACAAGATTTTTTAAGCCTAAGCCCAAGCCTATGTCTATGCCTAAGCCATGTCTACGCCAAGCCTAAGCCAAGGCGTCTTCACGGTCGACCATATCGGTGCCCAACGATCCGGTATTTTGATCGTCGATTCCGGGCTGTTCGGGGGATTGTCCCGTCCTTTTCACGCCAGATTGCCCCCAGCATGCCGCTTTTGACAAAGCTCCCGGCTGGGAACCTGGCAATTTCGGGCCCTCGCAGTTTGGATCTTTTGGTGGTATCTCTCTTTCTGCCTCCCTCTCTCCCTCTCTCTCTCTCTCTCTCTCTCTCTCTCTCTCTCTCTTTTTCGCTCTCCCTCTTACTCTTACCTCTTACCTCTCTAATTCTGCCTGCGCGAAAAACCTGGGTTTTTTTTTGGTTACGCCACGTTCCTCGTGCCCGTCGCGCCCGTCCCTTTAAAGGCAGGGTGACACTCAGAAGAAATAGATAATTTACAGAACTACCTATCCATCAATGCCCCTTACTTTGTTATTACCAACTTGTCCCCGACGCTCATCCATGTTTGTTATTTTGATAGAGCCGATCTCGATGACCGATCCAGCGCGTCTGACTGATACTGTGACGTCAAAATTGGGCAGCGAGAAAAAGCTCCCTCCGACTCGCCAAATCATTCATCCCACAGAGATCCGCCGAAGATGTCTGCTCACAATCCAAACCAACTCTCTCTCTCTCTCTCTCTCTCTCTTTTTCTCTCTCTCTACCTCATGTTGGCACGCTAAGTTCTTACACCCCCCGGGTACAGTTTTTTTTGCGTTTTCTCTAATTCTCTAGCCTTTTATGTTGTCTCTCTCCCTCTCGCTCTCTATTTTATCCTTTCTCTGAATATTTTTTTGCTCAAATGGTCTCTGCACGCATGCCTTTGAATGGTGGCATCTCACTAGCTTCTTTCTCACTCTCTCTCTCCTTGCTCTCTCTCGCTCTCTCTCTCTCTCTCTTTCGCTCTCTATCTCTATCTAGCTTGACAACGCTCTTCGGTCTGCCAAATTCGG